CTACTTGGGAGGATGAGGCAAAATGATTACTTAACACAGAAGCTATGATGGTGTCTCTGCACTCTATTTGAGTGACAAAGTGAGACTCTGTCTCAAAAAAAAAAAAAAAAAAGTGGATAATTCTTCTACCTCTATGAACATGGATTTTTGCCCCTACTCCCACCCTACCTACAAAGGCATAAACTGAATTTAGTTAAAAATGGGCAAGAAGTAGAGTCTAGATCTTAGTCTATGATGTGGTTCACAGAATATACGAACTCCTGCAGCACACCTTAGGTTATAAGGAACAGACAGGGACATTTATCCACAGCACCAGCTGTGTAATTAACCACCACTAGAGGCCAGAGCATCAGCAGGCTCCAACAATGAATCAAAACAACAGAAGCCGCTGCCGCAGCAATTGCTAGCACATATTGAGCACCAATGGAGAACCCATGTTGCACCAAATGTTTGAAACAGTATCAGTAGGAAATTGGTTCCATGACCACCCTTGCTTACCAAACCCAACAATGCTCAAGCGACTGGTATAAAATTACTTAGTCGATCCATCCTCCCATTTCTCACTCCCTGCTCTCTGCTCCCTTCTCTCTCTTGTTCTCATCTCTTCTCCCCACTCTCTTTCCTTTCTCTAATATAAAATAGACTTTTCTATCCTAACCAAAAAAACAACTTCATTGTTGCATACAACCTATGCACATCCTTTGGATACTTTAAATCATCTCTAGATTAAATAGAATACTTAATATAATGTAAATGTTATGTAAATGGTTGTGCGGTTTAGGGAATAATGACAAGAAGAAAAGTTGGTATGTGTTCAGCACAGATACTTCTTTATATATATTTTGTTAAATTAAGCTTAATTTTTCCCTGAACTGCCAGATTTATCATATGTCCTTTAAGAAAAAAAAAAAGAATTCTGTTTAATATGAGGGTACATGGTGATTAGGGTACATTGTTTGCATTTGTAAGGTAAAGTCCAAGCTACAGTTGCACCATTCATCCAGGTATGCCATATACCCCTACATTGTACCCACTGAGTGGGAACTTACCAAACCTCCCCCCTCTTGAATCTAATGTCTCCCTCTTCCAAAAACACCTGAGTCTGATGAAGACCTTTTGTTTGTGCTTTCCCAGCACTTACAACAGTATACTGAAGTGGACATTTCGCTTATTTTTCTTTGTTTCCTTTCTCAAATGACACTCTGCTTGAAGGGAAAGGGCTACATCATTTTCTACATGTATTCTCAATACATACGACAGTGTCTGGGATGTAAAAGGCATGTAGGTAATGTGTTTTAAATAAATGAAGACTTTGTAAATGTAAAACCTGCTTTTTATTCCCCAGGACTAGAATTGAGGTCCCACTGCTGTGTATTTTCTTAGCTCTAAGTGTGATCACATACTCCCAGGAGAGTGGAGGAAAAGATGCATATTGAAGACAAAAGAAAAACAGGTTGTCTTGGAGGGTGCAGCCTGGGACAGAAATCCACATGCAGCATCATCCTTAGATCAGACACAGGAGCTCAAGAGTCTCGGCAAATGAGGAAATGTCTCCCCAGAACTAGACTCAATACATCAGCAGTTGTCATTTTCAACTGGTGTTTTTGTTTTGTTTTGTTTTCTTTGTCGTGGAGGACAGCCACTCTGTCAAGCCAGAATTTGGCTGTTTTCAAGGTCATTGTCCCTTCTCAGATGTGGTGCTGTGTCCAGAGTCTGGCAAGCCTGGCTTCTGAGAGTGGATTAGGTGGCCCTTGGAGCCCGTGTGCCCTGGCGGCACTCCCAATTCCCATACACAAAAGCCTGGCGATGTCCTCTGAGGACAGTTGCCTCTTCAGTTGCTCTTTGAGTCTGAGTCACACTCCCTAACCTTAGCCCATCCACTATTTCAGACACTGCCCTTGCCCATGCCTTCCCGCTAAAACATCAACTTTCTCTCACCATCACCTTAGGTATATTCTTACAGGCAATACACAAATTAAGCTGTGGCTAAGGCCCAGAATCAGAAATTAATTTACAACACTTAAATACAAAAGCAGTGAGGAAGGAAGGAAGGAAGGAAGGAAGGAAGGAAGGAGGAGGGAGGGAGGGAGGGAGGGTGGATCTTTTAAGATACTTGGGTAATTATATGAAATCCCATCTCTGTTATCCCCTTTCAGTTCCTTAAAATTGCTTGAATTCATAACCCTTCCATGGGTTAATATTGAAAAGCCATCTAAGTCTTTTCCAGAAAAGCAGTGAAGTAAGCACACTACACAGACAAGGTAACTTCCCCACACAGGCCCCTTTGCCCCATCTTCGGGTCTGTTTTAACCCCACCGGTGTTCTCATCTCAAACAAGGCAGCTGGATGCAGCTACACAGAGAACAAAGAAAAGGGGTAACAATACAAATTTGAAAATTCATTTCAAAATCCAATGTAAGAAAAAAAAATACGAGTTATGCAGGAGCATGGTCTTGGGAGAAGTAAACAGTGGTTCAGAATTGCTCTTCCTCATTCCACTAGTTCTCAGCTTTGCATATTCCACTGTTTTAATGCGCAGTCATGGTGGAACACAGACAGAAGAAAGTGGCAGGAACCCTCTGCCCGTCTCTCTTCCCACACACGCATCTGAATACACAATGCACCTTTATCTCCTCCCTCTATATACCTCGATGTACAAATACTTCTACAATATGTATTTCTATCCAGAGGTATATTATCCAGGTATAAAGATACAGATATTTAGGTATATAAATATAGATATAATTTAAAGTAATGTAGCAAATTTTTTATAACTCTGGAATAGGATATTGTAGCAGGCAAGCAACCCAGTTGGCTCTCCAAGGATAGCTCTTTTCTGGCTTATGTGATAACCTCAAACTCCTAGAGTCTTTCCCTGTAGCCCTACTCTGAAGTGGAAAGGGTAGGGATGTAGAAAGGACTTCATAAACCTTCCAGAAATGTCTCCTTCAGGGAACCATCACCTGGGACGCCAGAATCAGCTCCCAAAGGCAGCAGAGAGTATCCCTCAGCTCTGAGAGAGAAGACTCAAGAAACCACTCATGGCTGTGGTCTGGGAAGACAAGAACCCACGCTTCTCTGTTGGTTCCCACCCTCCCCCTGCAGATGGAATTCTCAGACCCTCCCAGTCACCCCATTTCCTGCTTTAATCGGAGTCATGAGAAGTTAGAATCGGGAACGACCTTATGGAATCACGGCCCCCTTTCCTTGATGAGGGAAAGGGAGTGGCAGGGACTCTCCAGAAGATGGGGACACAGCGGCCGGCAGCGCTGGCCGGAAGCCCAGGCTCGGCCCGGACTCCCAGGGCCCTGTTCCCTTCGCACCCCACACAGCCACCCTCCTCGCGAGGGCAGCGTCCACGGCACACGCCTCGACACCACTTTCCTCTGACGTCCGCTCGCCGAGCTCTGACGATCGCCCCCGCCGGCCGTCCTTATAAAGGGGACTTTTCCCAATACTCGGATCGATCGCCACCTCACCCCGCGCAGCACACCTCCGCCAGCGCCCGCACCTGTCGACTCCACGCGCTCCCAGGGTCTTGGCCACGCTGGGTCAGGACCCGACCGGACCAGCCGCCCCAGTCCCCCGCCCTGCCCACCGCACAGAACCCCTCACCCCGCCCTGCCCAGCTGCCCCCCGCATCGGCACCCCCGCGGCTCCGGGCAGTGGCGGCAGCGGTCCGAGCTCTTCCCAGCGCTCGCAGCGACCACTCCAGGTAGGACCGGAGCGGGCAGTCCCAAGGCCCCGGCGCCCGAGCCCTCGGGGACCCTGTGCGCACCGTGCCCGGGCGGTGTTAGAGGGGAGGGACGCGGGGCGCCTTTGCCTCTCCCCGGGGATGAGCCGGCGGGTCAGCGGCGGTCGGGCACCAGGGACCCCCGGGGCGGGAACGCTTGCAGAGTCTGGGGGCGAAGACGGACAGAGGGGGGCCGAGGAAGGACAGCGGGGGGGCGAGGGGCGCAGGGCTGCTGCTGCGGAGAACTTGCTGGCTTGGTTGCTCACAAAGGCAGAGGCCACCCAGCCGCGGGCGCACCTTTTCCTTCCCCGGAATCCGAGGAAGACCAAGGCTACTTCTTTCTCTGAGGTCTGATCAGCCACCTGCGTGCACACATATCTGAGTTTCCCCCAGAAACTTGCGTGCGTGAATTGGGGTTCATCAAGTTACCGTGGCCACGAGAGGAAAAATTAAAAGAAAAAGAATTCCAGAAGGGGAAGGCTTTAGAATTTGGTGTCTGTCTTCTAAGAATCTTGCTTTGAATTCCCTTGCCCCTCTGTTATGTTTTTAGGCAATCCGTGCCTTTAACTCCTGCCTTATACTATATACTGTTCATGTGGGCGTGGGGTGAAATGAAGGACAAGGGGATGAGGAAGGTGAAGGAGGATCTTTTACACACACAAGAAAAAGCATATTTAGTTGATAAGAAACTTGTTGAAAATGTGCAGTTGATGTGTTTTTGAAATGGTTTTTCCTAAAGCTTTTTCCCCCAGATATTTTTACATCAGATTACTTTTGAAACTATTACCTAAAACTGTCGGGTAGAACAGAACAGAAGAATGACTGCATGAAATAATATTTTGGAATATGCAGAGTAGTCCTTCCTGATACACTTACATTACTGAATAATTTTACAACAGGAACTTTGTTCCACCAAGCAAATGTAGCCATATTCTTTGTAGATGATTTATTGACAGAGTTACTGAGTTAAGATACATGACAAGGTCAATTTTAAATTGAAAGAATTTAATGAACACAAAAAAGATTATGATTCCATTTGTTAAACTACATTTCCAGGCCTTTTTTTCCTGCTTCTTAAAAATGCAAAGCAATATAAAAGAAGTAGGGTAAGACAGTGGACACTTGTTGGTAACGACCAGTTTCACCTGCAATTGCGGTGTTACATTTGTTCTTTAAGCAGCACAGATCTCTCAGGAGCCAGCTGGTTCGTTCCCGGGTGCCTGCGTGCGCACGGGGCTTGGCTAATGCTTTACTGTATTTTCTTCAGAAGTCTTAATGAAGTAGCCAACTGCAGAAGAATCTGAAGATAAACAATGGCTTTCCACGTGGAAGGATTGATAGCTATCATCGTGTTCTATCTTCTTATACTGCTGGTTGGAATATGGGCTGCCTGGAGAACGAAAAACACCGGCAGCGCAGACGAGCGCAGTGAAGCCATAATAGTCGGGGGCCGAGACATCGGGTTGCTGGTTGGTGGATTCACTATGACAGGTAGGTGCAGGTGCTGTCTGCTCCACGCAGTCCGCCCTTGCTTGGCTTCTGTCAGTGTACACCAAGTGACCTCAGAGTGACAAAGCAAACCTTGCTCTTTGTCCTGTGGGGATTCTTTATGTTCACTACTTATGCATTCTTTAAATAATTTTGCATTCATTAAAAACTTAAAATTATGTCGGCAACTCCGTAGTACTTAAATGAAATGATTTTAAAATAAATCAACCAACTGAATACCAGGGAAACAAACCTGAGCTCTGGGAGCTGTTGAGTGGATGGAAACAGGATTTTAAAAAAAAGGTGGGTGAACAAAGAGATGGCTTAGCCTTACAAGTTAAGTAACTGTTAATGTGATGGCTCATCGGGACCTGTCCACCAATACATGCATAAAGTTGTGACTTTGAGTAGTCTTAAGTGATAAATGTCAATGAATACTAACTAGTCATGGTTTTTAACCTGAATAAATAAATTTGGGACAATGCAACTCCAAACTCACGGCCCTATTTTTGAGTCTCCCACTTAGTAACCAATTCCTTGCAGGAAATCAATCACTTTATCATTCTACAACACTAAAAAAGAGTTTTCCAGAAAGCTTCTTACAGAAGAAAGAAAGCTAGGGTGTGTCCTCCCAGGAATCCCAGAGCGGCAGTATGCAGCTCTCAGTCCTTCCAACCTTCTTTGTGTTATTGTTTCCAGCCTGAGGTGGTTCTCTTTAAAGGGTGTTTTGTTTCTTTTATGTATTCCCCTTCGTCACTGAAACAACTTAAAATCATATCTTTAATATTAGATACACTTTCACTGGCAACGCATATTTCATTTCAGAATGTTACTAGGTTTTTAAACATTAGCAACATAATTCATAACTAACAGGAACTCTGAGTGCTCATTGGATAAATATCCCATTGGAATTCAAATCCAAATGATGTCCAGTTTTAGTCTTAAAGTGCTACATAAAAATGATTCACTGTGTATATAAAATAGTTTACCAAACCAGTCTGGGGAGGAGGTGTCTCTGAATGCGTCAATATTGTCATCTGAAACCTACAATGTTCCATGCAGACTGTAGGTTTTACCTTTCAGACACTCACTTTTTTATGTTTGTTTAACTCTTTGCCAACTAAACATGGATTCATTGGGGTTTATAAATAGCCAGAATTCTGGGGAAGAGTGAAGCTCTAGGGTTATGTGATTAACTAGGACCAGAGTTAGAACCAAACCCCAGCCTTCAGACAGCCATGTGGGGGCCTTCCATGCTGTGCCACAGGCAGCCCTATAACTGGCCTCACTTTCTTTCTTTATAAAGGTACGGAGTTTGTAATAACTGTGGAAGGGTATACAGGAGCTGCTGCCTATCAAAATATTTTGTTTATTGTACATGTCTTTCATCACTCTAGTCTAATACTGTATTTAATATGGTCACAATGATAATATTTTAGAATGTATTTTTATGAGTGGTTATTTTCAATATTATAGGCTGTTGAAGTATATAAAGAATATTTGATGCTATTTCTTATAAAATGCTATCAATCTAGTTCAGTTTTCAAAGCTTTTTTTTTCTCTTTCTCAGAATTCAAAAGAACCTTGGTCAATATAATAATTCATTTAAAGGCTAAACTATATTACCTAATCTTTTCTAATTAATTGATTTAGACAGTGAAATCTCCGTAAGTTGACCATCCAAGAGACAGTAACAAACTGGTCAACATACGGAGATGAGCAACATAAGGAACTAGGCCTACAGTGGTGACACGGACATGTGGTGCATGTTCGGCCTGTGAAAATTAGGTCAGCTTAAGGATGTGGTCAAGGTAGGGAGGGGTCAACTATGGAGGTTCTACTGTATTTTATAAACAGTGGAGGTTGAAAATGTTGATGCTTTTTAAAATGAATATATCTTAAAAGAGCCCATGTTCTTGCTCATGAATTTGACACAAAATACACAATAATCGCAGATAGGAAATCTGCCATAGAAGGCATTGGTTTAATTAAAAATGGAAGGACTTGTTTAATCATAATAAGTAATGACATCTGCACTTTTACATTATAATAGTTGCAATCATTCAGACACCAATTTTCTTTTTGGACAAGGGACAAGAGACCTACACAATGAAAAATGATCACTAATAAGCTTTGTGCTTGTAAGACCATCAGACCATTTACTATACATGGTGAAACATTGCTGGTTTGTTGACAGTTCCAGTAACCTAACAGGGAGATGAAGTCTTAGGTTCTATGCCTGTAAGAATTCATTTATTTGGACCCTTATTAAATACCAAGTGTAAAAATGCTCTTTAAAAATTTTAGAAGGTTAGGCACAGTGGCTCATGCCTATAATCTTAGCACTCTGGAAGGCTGAGGCAGGTGAACTGCTTGAGCTCAGGTGTTCAAGACCAGCCTGAGCAAGAATGAGACCCTGTCTCTACTAAATATAGAAAAACCAGCCGGGTGCATGCCTGTACTCCCACATACTCAGGAGGCTGAGTCAGGAAGATTGCTCAAGCCCAAGGCTTTGAGGTTGCTGTGAGCTATGATGTCACAGCACTCTACCCAGGGCCATAGAGTAAGGCTCTGTCTCAAAACAAAAAAAAAAATTCAAGAGAACTTAGGATGAGAAAAGCAAATGATGGCATTTGCCATTTGTTAACACCTGGTATAAAAGGGACTGTGAGGGTGGGAGTGGTTGTTAAATATGTACTTGTCTACTTCAAGGTTTTGGGTATAAACTTTCCATTTAAATGTACTTAAAATTCCTATACAAGAACATCTTTTCATATTAGTCTTTCAAAAATTACTATTAATCCTAATATACTCCCTCGTCTTTCCTGTGTTGGATTGAAAGCCAGATAAAATTCTGGTATAAACACAACAAAGACACTTTCCTTAAATAGTTTTGTATACATATTATTTTATTTACTTACGTTCTGACCATGAGATTTTAGAGAATTCTCTAGAGCTAAATTTTATTCCCAGTGGGATAGTACTGCCTAGAATTCAATCTTAACCTGTGACCCTCATAATTTTACACAAATTCTATATAAGGATCATTTTAAGTATTTTTAACTATATGGTACCTTTAAAAGAGTATAAACTTCAAAGTGCTTAGTGCTCTTTAAGTTATATTTAACATTTCACGTTCTTCTGAGTGCTGATCTAGATGCAGAGTATAAGTTGGGTACTTGTAGGGGGGGCTATAAACTCACTGTAAAGCACCATGGAGTAGAAGTGTCATCTCTCTCCTTTTTTTACTCTTCTAACAATTTAAGGTAATAAGTACAACTTAGTTGCAATGCAGATTAGATTAGCCAGATCCTGTGTCCTCAGAGTATTTAAGCAAGGAAGCACCCTGCACACATGCAAATGCACACACCCACCTACATGCAGGCACACGTGCACACACGCACACACACACACGCGTGCACCACTTCTTGAGGGCAAGCCATGATAAATGTAAAAAAGATTAATATAATTAAAATGGAAGGGGCTTTCAATGGAGACAGTGGGGTCTGTACATAGAATTATTGAGAACAGAAATATTCATTGGACATATTGTGTATGAACTCAGATTTATTATATGTGATATCACTAGAAAGTTCGATGACCAAATGCATTTAGAAAATATCCAGGGCACACTGTCTGGTAGAAATAGAATGTGAATCACAAATGTGACGTTAAATTTTCTACAAAGCCTCATTTAAAACCAAAAAGAAATAGGTGAATTAATTTTAACAATAATAATGTTATTTACTTAACTCAGTATATTAAAAATGCTTCTATTTTAACAGATGATCAATATAAAAAATACGTTGGAAATCTATGTGGATTTTATGCTCCTACAACATCTCAATTCACACCAGCCACATTCCAGGCACATGATCAGGTGGTCGGTAGCCGCAAGTGGCTGGTGGCCACAGGATTGGACAGGCAGGTGGAAGGTACAGCAGACAGGATGGTGTTACTTCTCCACTTTTCATTCTATTTCAGCCACCTGGGTTGGAGGAGGGTATATCAATGGCACAGCTGAAGCGGTTTATGTACCAGATTATGGTCTAGCGTGGGCGCAGGCACCAATTGGATACTCTCTTAGTCTGATTTTAGGTAAGTGAAAGTATAAATCTCAGTGACTCACTCAGTAAAGGGTAAAGAATAGGAGTATAAATAAAGTAAAATAGGAAATCAAACAATGGGAATGACTATTGTGGAAAAAAACATCACCCGGAAATCTCTAAGGTAGCGGTTGCTAGAAACTGGCAAATGGAGGAACACGATTGGATCTCTTGATTTTGGAGTAAGTAAAAATAAATAAATAAAATTAAAAAAAAATAAACAAAACTTAAAAATAAATAAATAATTCCTTTCATCCTATAGCTATGAGTATAGTGACGTTCTTAACCTAATCATGTTTTATTTCTTTCAAAAAATAGTATGAATATATCATTAAAAATGAATCAACTTGAATTGTACCTGAGTTTCTTTTTATAAACCAAACTAGTAAAAGGTAAAACGTATTATGTAACAGAGAGTTCCTCATGCACTCAATGTGCTTTTATTGGCTCTCCAGCTTATTCAAAATGTCTAAAGGCTGCAGTGGGTGGTACAAAGGTATCAAGGGGTTTTAGTGAGCATTGTGCTGGCCCAGGCATTTTAATTCACATGCTTCAATTATATCATCCAGTTGTCCTTTGGGCACCTAACAATGTTAACCATGCTAATGAACTTATGTTAGTTTGCTAAATATTGCTGGGTACTGTACTCACAGGATATTTCAGATTGGTTTCTTAATACACTATAGATGTGCTTAAAACACCATTTCATTTGAGAAATCATAGTATAGTAAGCAGTTGGCAAAGACTATTAAATTACAATTTTTTAAAATTTTCTCATGAACATTTGTTTAATTTCTTTTAGGTGGTCTGTTCTTTGCAAAACCTATGCGTTCCAAGGGGTATGTGACCATGTTAGACCCATTTCAGCAGATCTATGGAAAACGTATGGGTGGGCTCCTGTTTATCCCTGCACTAATGGGAGAGATGTTCTGGGCTGCAGCAATTTTCTCGGCACTGGGTAAGGACCAACTAAGTGTTACTTAAGATGGTGGCATCTCTCAGCTGAACATGAGATACACAAACTTACTTTCTTCAGCCTTGATTTCTAAGGAGATTTTTGTTCAACCATATTAAAATCACATTTCTATTCATAAAAGCTTAACAGAAATTCTCTATTTGCTTACCATGTGGCTGAAGAGGTTAAATAAAGCCTCAACTGTATTTCTTAAATTTGAATTACATCATTAGAGTGATAACATGGGTTATCTTATGATGTAGTAATGGTCAAGAGTTGCTTTTATTCACATGTGACTCTGAACAAAGCATGATTACCTGTATCTGAGAAGTGCAATTTATTTAAAAAGAATTTTCAAATCAAGGGTTCATGAGCCAATGGTTAGAAAGAACACTAATATATATTCTTGGTGCTGAATATACGTAAGTCAATGGTTTAGATCTTAATTTATCCTAATAAATCTCATTTCTGTTAACTGAGATCTTTTTACCTCCCACTGTTTTCTTTCTAATAACTATTGTGTTAATTGATATAAAAATAAATAACAAAGACACTTAAATTTTTCAAATAACAGTCTCACATGCCATGTTTAAAGCATTAATATTTCTAGAGCTCTTGGGATTTAAATACGATGTGTCTAATTAAAAACAAATATAAAACTCCGTATGAGTCTCAATAGTGGAGAACATTCCTAGAGAGATGAGATTTCACCAGCCCCATGCTGATGGAACAGGTTAGTAACAGAGGTCACACAGCAAAACTCCCGAACTTGAAATAGTTCAAAAAATTGATATTTTAAAAAGCACAATGGTACAGGTTATTAAGAGAAAAATTAAGCATGGTCGACCACAACAAGGATTTCCTCTCTAGTTTACATGTCCTCTTAGTAACTCAGGTAAGAAGGTGTCCTTCCTTCCATCATCTCCACATGGCAGCTAGACAGAATCTTCTAAGTTCAAAACTCATCAAGTCCCTTTCCTGCTTAGAACCAGACTTTTTAATAGGGCTCCTAAGTATGACCCTGACCTTGATGGTCTCCTGTCATGATTCTAGCTCCTTCCCCTGTATCCCTTGCCCTCTTCCCTCTGCCAGAACTGTGGTCTTCTTCTCCTGCCACTTAGACTTTGCCAGCCCAAGAGCCTGTGCGGTGGACTCAGTTCCACTCTTCCCTCCTCTCCATCTGCCTGGCCAGCCACAGTGTCCTCCAGATCTTCACAGCGATGTCACTTCCTCAGAGCAGTCCTGCTGAACTTTCGTATCCCTTTCCTATTGGCCTCCTTAGGTGCCTAGAGTTCTGTAGTCATTGGATTTATCATTGTGTCTGATTATTTGCCTGTTTACCTATTTCATGCCCAATTTCAAATCTACAAAATAGATTAGAAGTTTCTTGAAGGCAAGATTTGTGACTTATTTATAGTTACCTGGTATAATCCTATCACAAACAAATGAAGGAATGAATGAGTCCTATATGGCTAAACTTTCTTCAAAAGAGAAAAGGAATAACAATGTTGCTTTTTTTCTCCTCAATGTAATTGCCTCACATTATAAAATAGTGGGTTGTAGACACTTTGGGGATCCAGAAACTGAACTTAGACTCCTTAAGGCCTAATTTACTACCCAGATCAGGTAATGCCAACCAGAAACTCTCATTGACCTTTGGATTCCCAGGCCACTTGTAAGTCTTAGGAAACAAGAGATTTCTGTGAGATTATGGGAGATCTTCAGCTGCAATGCCCTGCTTTTTAATCAGCGGGAAATCTAAACCATCCTACTGATGTGTTGGAAGTTCACAACCTTCCTCACTGAGCCACATCAATTTTTGGCATCTAGGCTTACGGGTATATCACTCTTTATCTTTTTTTTTTTTTTTTTTTTTTTTTGGACAAATGGAAGTACAAGGAAGTGGTCAGAATAAGAGTAAGACAAGATAAATTTCCTCCTTCTGTGTTATATATTCTGGACTACAGTCTTGTCTTCTGACTTCAGTATTGTCCTTGTATGTGACCTCTGTAATACCAAATCTTATTTTATACTCCCTTTTGCTGCTTTCTCTCTCGAACGCCCATATAATCTTCACATATATAACTTTACATTATTTTGTTGATCCCCAACAGTAAAATGAATGGAGCTACTTGATGTGGAAAAGAAGAGAAATTGATAGTTGTAAAATATAGTAATAACTCTGCGGACAGTGTTGCACTTCCGTAATGCTGGATTGCTGCCCTCACACCCTAATGGAATTAGGTGTAAAAATACTCCTCCCTTCCCACCTGGCTCTCATTAACTGTGAAATCATGGGAGTGTAGACACCAGAAAAAAATAGGTTTTAAGAAAAAAATGGTTTTAAAAAATTGGTTTTATAGTATCAAAAAGGAGTGGGCTGAATATCTAACAAAATACAAAAGGTTCATTCTCATTGAATAAAGGTAAATTTATATGGCAGAGACCTAAAGAGAGGATAGAATTAGTAAGCTAGGCTCGGCACCCGTAGCTCAGTGAGTAGGGTACTGGCCACATACACTGCAACTGACGGGTTTGAGCCCAGCCCAGGCCTGCTAAACAACAATGACAACTGCAACCAAAAATAGCCAGGCGTTCTGGTGGGCGCCTATAGTCCCAGCTACTTGGGAGGCTGAGGCAAAAGAATCACTTAAGCCCAAGAGTTTGAGGTTTCTGTGAGCTGTGATGCCACAGCACTCTACTGAGGGCAAAGAATTAGTAAGCTAATGTTTCTAAAGTATTTTGGAAAGTATAGAACATAGTAGCTGAACTCTGAACTATGTTAAAATTTGTTGTATATGAGTGTGTGTCTCTATGTGTGTATGTTTCAATACACAGTCATGTATCCCTTAATGATGGCTATGTGTTCTGAAAACCTGCCATTAGAAGATTTCATCTTTGTAGGACCATCATAGAGTGTACTTACACAGACCCGAGTGGTACAGCCTAATACACACCTATATGGCTATAAACTTATACAGCATATTACTGCACTGAATACTATGGGTAATTGTAACACAATGGCTGTGATGATAGGAATTTTTCATTTCTATTATAATCTTGTGGGACTACATATATAAGGAGTCTGTCACTGAGGGTAACGTTATTATGGCGGGCAAGACTACATAGGTAAAATATGTTATCGACTGTGTTTCAGTACACTCTCACAAACTCTATCAAACAGTGCATGTGAAAACGTTACTGCCATTGGGCGGTGCCTGTGGCTCAAAGGAGTAGGGTGCCAGCCCCATATGCCAGAGGTGGTGGGTTCAAACCCAGCCCTGGCCAAAAACTTAAAAAAAAAAAAAAAGTTACTGCCATTGCTTGGAATTCATAGCATATATTTTTTAAATTAATACCTATATTTTCATCATAAATAACACTTGGACACAATGCAAAGTTGGTGTCTATTAAAAATAACTTGGGAGGCTCGGCGCCTGTGGCTCAAGCGGCTAGGACACCAGCCACATACACCTAAGGTGGCGGGTTCAAATCCCCAGCCTGGGCCCACCAAACAACAATGATGGCTGCAACCAAAAAATGGCCAGGCGTTGTGGCGGATGCCTGTAGTCCCAGCTACCTGTAGTCCCAGCTACTTGGGAGGCTGAGGCAGGAGACTCGCTTGAGCCCAGGAGTTGGAGGTTGCTGTGAGCGTGATGCCATGGCACTCTACCCAGGGGGATAGCTTGAGGCTCCGTCTCAAAAAAAAAAAAAAATAACTTGGGATACTTAAGCATTTACAAGTACAATATCTATTCCCACCTTACTGTGAATGTGCATAGTTCATCCCTGAAAGGTGGGGGAAAAAATCTTAAAACTATTTTCCTGGTATAAATGGACATCTTCTTAACTTTTGAAAGAAATGTCTGTTTATACTTACACAAGCTCAAATTCAGTCGATTTTCATAATTTTGTTTACAGTGTATTTATTTTTATAGCTTCCTAAGCAGACTAATACAGGGTGAACATAAAGTTCATGTGCAATTTAATATAGTTGAACACAGTGAATTGCACACAAACTTTATGGACACTATGTCTTTCACAGCATCTCAGGGAGTATCTTTGTTTCACTTGCTGTGATTGTTTTAATTAATCAGAAAATGTTTTAGAGAGAAATTTATCATATTCTCAATAGTAATAAAGGAGTGGTTGACATCTCCAAATTCACTGAGTTACAATCAGACGACAGCATCTACAAAGACCAAAAATCTTTAGGGTCTTAGTCCAGCAGGCTTTCTTTTATAATTGAGCTTTTCATAATTCATGGGATATAACTTAGAAATGTTCAGTGTCATGGAGAACGACATTGAAAGAAGAATGACAGAGATGCAAGTGAAGGTTCAACATGTAAAATAAATGATTTCAGGGGAAAAGCCGCTTTTAAATTATGCAACAATAACTCAGTGATGTAAGAAACTTACAATTGACCTCTTTCCTTTGTCTCCATCCTCCAACTCCTTATTAGATTTTTCCTTTGAATTTTTACTTGAAAAAAATTTATTACCATAGCAAAAGCATTCAACATATTTAATATTTAAATAAATATTTAAAATATTTTGTATTCATATTTTAGATCAAAATATCTTATATGGCTCTTTGTGATAATGGGTTTTCATCCCTGGTGGGTTTTGTAGAGAATTCAGACAGTTGGCCGCCATTGATGATACAGAAAATCTCAGAATTGTAGCACGTGTGCCAGAACACCTATCATTGTTGCATTTATAGTGCGATGTATAAACTGTGTATTTTTGAGAAAAATAGGGAAAGGCCTTATAAAGCAAGAAATGAGTTATGAACTGTCACTTCCAGAACTACTGTGGTCCTAACTGTTCATACCACAATATTCTCAGTGGAAATATAGGCACTAGCACACATGTTAATAAACAATGTTATAAGAGAAGAAAACCATAAATTTTATTTCTAAGAAAATACCTGTATAAAATTTTGATGATGCGAGTTACTTACCATGAGATATTTAAACCTAAGCTCTTCAGTATATTGGTATCATAGGAGCAGGACCGGCATGCTCCTATGATACCAATTCAATTAAATAAAATGATCTTTTAAGAATTTGCAGAAGGAAAAGTTAATAGATACAAGTTATTATACTAATTTTATGATTTTTCTTCTACAAATTTTTCTCAACCCTTTGGTACATTGTTTGTCAGCTACCAAATGCTAACAAGAAATAGTGAATACAAAATAACAAATAGATGTTAATTGGAAAATGAGAAAATGGGAGATCATGCTTCTCAGAAAGCTTTATTTTTCTCATGAATGTGAATAAGTACATTGCATATATGATAATGCAGCATGGTATGACTGTTCAGTCAAGAACAGAATGCATATGCATGACAGTGGTCCTATAGGATTATAATAGCATTTTTTATCGTACCTTTTCTATGTTTAGCTATGTCTAGATGTACAAATCCTTACTGTTGTGCTCCAGTTGCCTACAGTATTCGGTGTGGTAAGATGCTAGACGGGTTTGTGGGCTAGGAACAGTGGGCTGTCCCATGTAGCCTGGGTGTGGGTGTGGGTGTGTGGTGGGTTGTACCATCTAGGTTTGAGTAGGTGCACTCTACGATGTTCATAGGGTGATGATGCATTTTTCAGAACATACCTTTGTCATCAAGCAACATATGACTGTATTTAATTAAGCCAGAGTTTCAGATAGTGAAACCACGGCAAGTCCTTATAATAAGATTAAATTTATGAGTAATTCAGGGTGTTCTGTAATCATGTTACAAATTTCAGGCACTCTTCACATAAGGAGGTTAACAAAGCACTAATTTCAAAAAGCAAGAAAGTAATAGCTCACTCAAATGATTAGGATACAAAAATTTTGGCCAGGCACAGTGGCTCATGCCTATAATCCTAACACTCTGGAAGGTTGAGGGAGGTGGATTGCTTGATCTCAGGAATTTCAGACCAGCTTGAGCAAGAGTGAGACCCTATCTCTACCCAAAATAGAAAAACTAGCCAGGCATTGCGGCAGCGGCAGATGCCTATAGTCCCAGCTATTCAGAAGGCTGAGTATAGAGGATGGCCTGAGCCCAAGTGATTGAGGTTGCTATGAATTATGATGACATCACAGCATGCTACTCAGGAGGACAGAGTGAGACTTTGTCTCAAATAAAAAAAAAAGACACCAAAATTTCCATATGAAAATTCATATTAGCTATTATTGACCAATAGTTTTCAAATGATGCAGGGGGAAATACCAGGTACCATTGGACTTTCGGGACATTCTTGCACAGAAAACAGAATCCCTGTGGGTGCCCTAATCACAGCCTTGTTTGTCTTTCTCAGGAGCCACCATCAGCGTGATCATTGACGTGGATGTGCATGCTTCTGTCATCGTCTCTGCGCTCATCGCCACCCTATACACTCTAGTGGGCGGGCTCTACTCGGTGGCCTACACGGATGTCGTCCAGCTCTTTTGCATTTTCGTAGGACTGGTAAGTGGGGTCATGCAAAGCTTTGACTTCATTCTTTTCTGTAAGATAATGTGGTATTTTATACTAACTCAGCAAAAATTGTAGAAATTTTTCTCTTCCACTGTGAATAATACACAAGAAATCACATACTATATAAAATTTTACATTTCTCTGTGAATTGGTTAGATGAAAAACTCTAGTCATCTTGTTAGATTTTGATGAAAAAGTGTGCTCTCAGATTTATTGTTAGAAAGGTCTGGCTCTTCCTTTTCTTCATGCCTAGATTTGATGGAAATTTATGTAATCTCCCTTGAGTATTGAAGGCAACACTTTCCACAAAGTTAAGAAAATGTAAATCTTGGTGGTAGCCTGTGCAGTCTCTTATCCTCCCCTCTGTCAGTTTGGTTAACCATCCAGCTGCTTATAGAAATCATCCCATTGAGAAACTGTGGATTTCAAATATTAATCATTATTATTTTGGAGTTTAAAAACAAAGAACAAAGAAAAGGCTTACTTGTATAAGGGCAGTAGAAAGATTATCTATGCTTTAATGTTATATTAGGTAAAATGTGCTAGGTGCTTATGAGACATGAGTCTTATTAGTATTCCATTAAATGCACCTTCGTGTTTCTTGAACACACTTTAGTCAATGTTGATTCTTCACAAACTCACATCTTAAAACATGAAGACTACACTCATGCATATACTAACATCCAATATCTAAGAAGCAGCAAAAGGAGTATAAAGAAAATGTCATGCCCACCCTGTGCTAGGGCTGTTGTGGATTCACACGCATTCTCTCCTCTTACACACATCGTCTCGGTGTAGATCCTGGAGGGTCAATGCCCTTGTCCAGAAGCAGTGGACAGATCAGTGAACACTGCAGATCATGACTCGTCTTCCCAAGAATAGTCAAAGAACCTTTGGTTCTCCTCGTTTTCCTTTACTTTATGTTATAATGGACAGATATTTCCTCTATGTTAGTTTTTACATTAGACACTTAGAAATGAAAGAAGATGTCCATAGCCAAGCCCCACCCTGAACACACCCATCTCCTTGTCTAATCTTGGAAACTAAGCAGAGCTGAGCCTGGTTAGCATTTGGATGGGAAAAAGGAAAGACGAAGAAGGAATCTCATGCTCCACCTCTTTGTTTAAATTTTGTATTATCTCTAATAACATCCTAGAGGAAAATTTAAAAGATGGGACTATAATTAGACTTATAATTTAACTGTATATTTACACATGCAAGGAAGATGATAATATTTCCTCCTTTCTTCTAGACATTTTAATAATTTTAATTGAATTTATTATTTGATTGAATATTTAATTTGACTGAGGACTTTTTATCTTTAAAGTACTAAAGTCAAGTGGACAGTACTGAAATTTTTCTTTTTCCTTAGCATCATTATAAACTTCCAGAAATGAAACAGAGAACACAGAAATAAATTTCTCTCAGAACATTGGAAGCTAGGTTAGTTTGGAAATGACAGGTCTGGTAACTGATGTATTGGGTATTGTAAGAAACCCAAGCCCAGGTGATGAATCTATTATTGATGATATATGTGATTTCTCATTGGTTTGTATGAGACCATAGCTTAAAATATACAGGTACATAAATCAAGTGCAAGTGAAAAGATGTTAGGGCAAATATGTTAGAATGGTGTTCTGCTACAAAAAATGTAGCAAAATTGTGCTCGGCACCTGTGGCTCAAGTAGCTAAGGCACCAGCCACATACACCTAAGGTGGCAGGTTCGAATCCAGCCCAGGCCCACCAAAACAACAATGACGACTGAAACCAAAAAATAGCTGGGTGTTGTGGTGGGCGCCTGTGGTCTCAGCTACTTGGGAGGCTGAGGCAGGAGACTCGCTTGAGCCCAGGAGTTGGAGGTTGCTGTGAGCTGTAATGTCACAGCACTCTACCCAGGGGGACAGCTTGAGGCTCTGTCAAAAAAAAAAAAAAAAAAAAAGGTAGCAAAATTGATAAAGAGTGAAGTTCTGTCGGTTAGTAGTGAAGACCTTATCAAATTAGCTGAGTAGGTGGGTCATTATGAAAGTTTTGAGATACACAAAGAATGAAATGGTAAAATCCTGGCAGATGGAAGCAAGCGAAGCCCTCCCAGCCACACCAATAAGCCAAGCAAGTTGAAACTTACATGGATAAATCAGAAAGGATGCTATTGACTGTGTTTTTGCATTTTATTTCTTTATTTTATTTTATTTTTTATTTTGAGACAGAGTCTTACTTTGTTGCCCTCGGTAGAGTGTCGTGCTGTCACAGCTCACAGAAACCTCCACCTCCTGGGCTTAGGTGATTCTCTTGCCTTAGCCTCCCAAGTAGCTGGGACTACAGGCACCTGTCACAATGCCCCGCTATTTTTTGTTGTTGTTGTTGCAGTTTGCCTGGGGCCGGGTTTAAACAGCCACCCTTGATATATGGGGCTGGTGCCCTACCCACTGAACAACAGGCGCTGCCCTTGACTGTGTTTTTGGAAGTGAAATGATGGACCATGACACAGTATGTCTCAAAACTTTGGTAGTAACCTAAGTAGAAGACATAACATGCTTGTTTCCCAGACTTTAATTGCTATACATTATACATAATTACTTACATCTTAAACCATCTTCTTATCTTAATTTCCCTAATTTTGTTGACTTTCTTCTAAATGTTAGAACTCTAAAACTGTAATTTTGAGGTCGCTCTGTTGGTTTTCACTCTCTCTGACCTCTCCTTCTTATCATGGATGAGTTCTGGCTCCCTCTTCATAAACCTTTTTAGTACCAGTATCTTTCCATTCCCAGCGTCGCTGCTGTGCTTCAGGCCTTCCTCCAGTGGTATAGGGAACACCTGCTGCTCTCCCTGACTTCTCACTGCCTCACTGCCCACCTCTATGGTCCAAAAATTCGGAAGAAATAAAATTGAAATCTTTTTAAAGACTCAAAAGAAACTTCTCTAGCTCCCAGTTACCTGCAAAACAAAATGCAAATTCCTTAGCTTGCAATTCTAAGTTCTTTCCACACATCCATCTTTATCCTTTCCATTGCCCTAAGCCACTCTCATTCCAGCAAACCCTATCACCCAATAGATGTGGGTGCAAGTACATGTGCATACAAACACCACACATACACCCCACACACATACATTCCCCCATATACACACACACGCCCACATACACAGGGCTCTACCCTTTGCCTCCCTCCATCCAGGGGTGGAGAACCTGAGGACTTTTGATTTCAAGATTGTTCTTTTTTAACCATCAAAGGAGGTAAGAAAATCTTCATCATTCTCTGCTGCACCCCTTTTATTGGAAGAATTTATTATATAAAATTTGGATTGGACCAAAAATCACATTACAACAAAGATATCTGTACCAGAATGTTTATTGCAGCTCAATTCATAGTTGCTAAATCATGGAAGAAGTCCAAGTGCCCATCGATCCACGAATGGATCAATAAATTGTGGTATATGTATACCATGGAATATTATGCAGCCTTAAAGAAAGATGGAGACTTTACCTCCTTCATGTTTACACGGATGGAGCTAGAACATATTCTTCTTAGCAAAGTATCTCAAGAATGGAAGAAAAAGTATACAATGTACTCAGTCCTACTATGAAACTAATTTATAGCTTTCGTATGAAAGCTATAGCCCAATTATAGCCCAAGAATATGGGGAAGGGGGACAGGGAGGGGAGGGAAAGGTGGAGGGAAGGTAATTGGTGGGACCACACTTATGATCCATCTTAGAAGGGTACATATGAATCTTTCTAAATGTAGAATATAAATATCTTAACACAATAACTAAGAAAATGCCATGAAGGCTATGTTAACCAGTTTGGTGAAAATATTTCAAATTGTATATAAAACCAGCACACTGTACCCCATGATTGCATTAATATACACAGCTATGATTTAATAAAAAAAATTGGATTGAGTTAAAAGTCTTCACTTAAGTACCAGGGAGGCCTCATGTTTCCTTAGGGGTGCAGATTCCCCACCCTGGGCCTAAGGCATGTATCACTTCACACACATTTCTCAATCAGATCTTTTCTAGCCACCATATTGCATAGATTTTTTTCCCCTAATTCAATTAACATATAAAAAGTATGTGTGTCTTTGTGTCTGTATATATGCATATCAATATCTGTCTGGATGTCAAATGTAGTTTCCTTCCCAAAGGTTTCTTATAATTGCTTCTATAGTTCATATTATATGGTATAGTCAAGCACAGAAGTAGACAGTATGTTGTTTTAGTTTTCCTAAATTAATATTTAATGGTGTTCCAAAGAGAAGATGGTTTGAGCTCCTTCTCTGATGGATGAAGAGGAATTACTGACCTCTCCAGCCTGGGAGGTGCATAAACCCTGCATACACTAGACAATTAAAGGGAGCCAATGTCGCTTCCTTTCACAGTGGATCAGTGTCCCCTTTGCACTGTCACACCCTGCAGTCACAGACATCGGATTCACTGCTGTGCACGCAAAATACCAGGAGCCCTGGCTGGGAACCATTGAGTCAGATGACGTCTACACTTGGCTCGATAGTTTTCTGTTGTTGGTAAGTAATGCTCTTATCTGAGGAATGTGATGCAATGGCTCCAAAAATAAAATGTGTTTCCAAGATTTTCATATTTATGCTAATAATGGCAATTTCTATACTAGGAGGGTGGAGCTATATCCTGACTTTGTGGCTGATAGTGTCGAGGTGGAGAGGAATGAGGGAATGAGGCCCAAGGGGCAGCATGCTGGTGTTATGTCTGCTGTGACCACTGCCTGGCATGACATGAGTCTGGGAATACCAGGCCACCTCCCAGGGATCTCCCACAGTCTGAAAGCCAAGCCACCAAAAAGTTCTACTTGATGTTTTTAATTAAGGCATGAAAGCCAGTGTGTTCTGAAATAAGTAACTCAAGCAGTCATGAACTACAGAGTAAATAAGTTAGTGGTGCCACAGGCCCTAAGTGCATAAAATGCACTGGGAAGGGAGGTGTCACTCAGGAAAGATGCCAAGAGAGAAGCTCTTGAACGCCAGAGGCAGCCTGAAAACACACAGACAGGACTGTGAGGCAAGAAGACGTGGAAGAAATAATAGCAGATCGCAGATTGAAAAGAGGAACACCAGGGGAACCAACTAGATTTGACAATTTTGCTAATTAGAGAGGTTACATGTGAAAATAATTGTATTTGATTTCCGCGTAAGAAATCAGATACTTTTTATGTAAACATTAAGAAAAAATTGGTTATGTTTGTTTTCTCTTTAGAGAGCTGATGGTATTTTATGACTTTGTGTGCATGGCACTTTGCTAAATTTTAACATTGCCTCAACACTCAAAGTGAGTGTGCCTTTACCAGTAAAAAACACTTTCTAGTAAGGAAGCAGAATTGGGGGAGGGGGGAAAAGATATTTACATTAGTGGATTGGAGGGGTTTTTTTCCTTAAGGATTGTTAAGAAATACTTTGGCTTTCATTTTTCTGAAGTGGTTTATAATTACAAATTGAAGCAATAAGAAGGTATATGTACATGTAATTACACCTGCTAATTCTGTTCGTGGTTACATTGAGGAGATAATGGAACTTGGAAAATTTAGGCCACTTGTTTGATGATCACAGCACTGAGTTAAGGATTGATATAGAACCTAAAGCCTCAAAGTCCTTTTCCTCACTCCACACTTTATTCCCCAGACTACTTACCCTTGATATAAGACATTATATCTGGTGATTGCTAAATTCCTTCCAGCCCTGAAACATATGTGACAAAGTCAAATTCACGATTCAAATTCTAAGAGAAGTTGAGATGCAATAATACATGTTGAAAGAATGAATGAATGAATGAACTACAGAAATAAGCCTCAAACCATTTCCCCAATGGTCTCTGATATTCCAGTTTTTTCTCAAATGTCCTCTATAGGAGAGTGACTTGAAAAGTCCTGCTTATAACACTAAGTAACTCCCAGTCTCAGTCAGAATCTGCCAGCTGTCCCTCTATTAGCCTATATTAAGCTGACCACATTCCTCACCTGACCCAAATGAGAACCCCCCATGGTCTTCCTGATGGCAGCCTGCTTACCTAGTACTCCCCCAAGCTCTCCAGACTGCCCCATATTTTAGCCAGCTGGAGCTGTTACAATAAAGCACCATACGCTGGGTAGCATATAAACAGTAGAATTTATTTTTTGCAGTTCTGGAAGCTGTAAAGCTATGATCAGGTCCTCAGTATGGTCGGGCTCTGGGGAAAGCCCTCTTCCAGACTGCAGACTGCTGACTTCTCACTTTATCCTCACATGATGGAAAGAGGGCAAGAGAGCTCTCTGGTTTCTTCTAAAAAAGGCACTAATCCAGTCATGAGGGTCCCACCCTCATGAGCTGATTACCTCCCAGAAGCCCTACCTCTGAATACCACCACATAGGGATTAGATTTTCAATGTGTGAATTTTGGGAACAGACATTCAGTCATTGCCCCTTAAGAGCTTCTGTTTGTAAAGAAGGTCAGATTTTACCTTGCTGGAAAACCTCTCATGACCTAAATGCCCAGGGTGGTGGGTACAAAATTTATGATGTATCAAGTCGTGTAATTAATTACCACAGATGATGGTAATGCTCTATTGATTAAAAGGTTACAAAATAAAAGGAAAAGAACATAGACTTGAGGAATGGGATTTTGAATTTTAAATTTCTTCTTCAAGCTTTGTTTTTTGACTTTTAAACAAGTATGGCTTTTATAAGAAATTGTTCAAGAATCAGTATGTGATAGGCACTCTGCTTGGCACAGGTGAGTCAATGATAAATAAGACAGCCACCCCAGAAATCCGAGCCCTGTGGAGAGGCAGGCAACTGTGTGATACTTACTTTGAGCTCATTCATAAGTTCATCCACTTGCATAAGAAATATTTACTGAACATGGACTCTATTACAGACATAGTATACAGTAATTCAGGTGAAAGCATCTTTCTAGCTTTCTTTCTAACCATAGCCACATACCCTGGCCTTTAATCACACCAAATACCCAGTGAACTCATAGCTGTCTAAGTATTGTGTTTTATTTCTTTTTTCTTCCATTAGTTTCTCTCTCTGGCACTCTTCATCCTCCTTCCCCTCCCCTAAGGATACCCTCTCAGTGATCAGGGACTAAAACGATATCATTTCTGTAGGTTTTCCTGATCACCATGCAGCTGCCCTTCCTCCCTCCCAGGGCCTTCCCTTTCACCCCAAATAATTAATTGTTTTTCATTTTTGTTCCCATACAACCTCTTTAGATCATGTCACAGGTTCCATTATAGTCCAAATCTTTGATTGTATATCCTCAATAAGAAACTTAAACGCACCCCCAATGTAGGTATGTGTACCTATCAATTATATGTGTTATACTAACATGTGACATAAATCTTTTATGATGAATTCTGGGCTTTTAGTATACCCCTCATTAGATTAACTAAGAAAAGAAGAAAGAAGATCCAAGAAAATAATTTGTTATTTGGACCTTTATTGAGGATATAGCAGGGTCTCTGTTGCCTGGAACTGAAAGTGTAGTGGGGGCAGTGCCTATGGCTTAAAGGAGTAGGGCACTGGCCCCATATGCCAGAGGTGGTGGGTTCAAATCCGGCCCCCGCCAAAAACTGCAAAAAAAAAAGTGTAGTGGGGTCATCACAGCTCACCAGAACTTCAAACTCCTGGGCTCAGCTAATCCTCCTTCCTCCTGTCTCAGCCTTCCAAGGAGCTGGAACTACAGATACCCAGGTCCCACGCCTGGCTATTTTTTTGTTTTATTTGTTTATTTCTTTTTTTGTAGAGGCCAGAATCTCACTATTGTCCAGGCTGGTCTTGAACTCCTTGCCTCAAGTGATCCTCCTGATCTGGCTTTCCCAATGCACAGGCATGAACCACTGTGCCTGACCAAAAATCATATTTAAAATATATATAATGGGCAGCACCTGTGGCTCAAAGGAGTAGGGCGTCAGCCCCATATGCCAGGGGTGGTGGGTTCAAACCCAGCCCCGGCCAAAAACTGCAAAAAAAAAAAAATTCATAACATTTAGACTTAAGGTATGAATGAGAATAAATAGAAGAGTTGTAATGTTTTCTTTGATCCCCACTGTATTGCCCTGATCGCTCTGCACACCCCACTCTGGAGAGCACCAAAGTACAATGACTCTCTCAGCAGAGAGCCGTGACAGGGCGAGAGCCAGGCCTCATTCATCCTTGTGCCTGTATAGCTATTACATTGCCGGGCACAGGATTGGAATCTTTAAACATTTATTGGTTTGTATCAATTTAGATCAATCTTCACTCTTTCAGAATCTTAATCATTTTTCAGAACATTTTATGATGCTTACAACCTCCAGATAAGAACAAATTTAAGGCTTCTGGGTAGTGTTAATGAAAATTTAAGGTTTCTGGGTAGTTTTTAATGTAAATTAAGGAAACGAAAGGACTGCTCTATGTAATTATGAAGGAAAATAATTTAAGGAAGTGTTGCATAATTGAAAGGATGATAGTAATGTTGTCTGGGTCCTTGTGGGCTGCTTAACAAAATGCCTGGTAGCCAGGGTAGGTGGTGCACACCTATAATCCTAGCCCTTTGGGAGACCAAGGCAAGTGGATCACCTGAACTCAGGAGTTTGAGACCAGCCTGAGCAAGAGTGAGACCCCATCTCTACTAAATATAACAATACTAGCTGGACATTGTCGCAGATGCTTGTAGTCCTAGCTACTCGGGAGGCTGAGGCAAAAGGATCACTTAAGCCCAAGAGTTTGAGGTTGCTGTAAGCTATGATGCTAGGGCACTCTACCCAGGGTAACAGAGTGAGACACTGTCTCAAAAAAGTAAGAAAAGAAAAGCCAGGAAAGGAGTAGCAAGTGAACAACATACTCTTATTTTCATAGTTCTGAAGGCTAGAAATTCCCAAATCAAGGCACTGTCAGAATTCAGTGTCTGGTGAGGACTCCTTCCTCATAGAAGGTGACTTCTTGCTGTGTCTTCACAGAGCAGACAGGAAACAAGCTCCCTTGGGCATCTTTCATAAGGCACTCAAGAGGGCTTGAACCCCCAAGACCTCATCATCCCCAGAGTTGCTCACCTAATACCTGATACCATCACTTTGGGGACTAGAATTTCAATGTATGAATTTGGAGGGGACATAAACTTCCCACTGCAGTAAATAGAATGATAGCAATTCCAGATCTATGGCATGTAGAACATTTTCTATTTCTCAAATCCTTACTTAATACTACTCTAAATGTGTTTGTAATAAACCTCTTAAGAAAAACAACAAAACGTGATTGATATTCCTTGCCTTGAGTTTACTCTGGGTGCTATGGTTCCCATGCAGATGATGGGTGGAATCCCGTGGCAAGCCTACTTCCAGAGGGTCCTCTCTTCATCCTCGGCCACCTACGCACAGGTGCTGTCCTTCCTGGCTGCTTTCGGGTGCCTGGTGATGGCTCTCCCAGCCATACTCATCGGGGCTGTTGGGGCATCAACAGGTAAACTTCTTGCAGCTACACCACAGGTGCCACGTTATTTAGCAAGCAGAAATAGATCTGGATGTTGTTTTATATGTGGGTGTGTGTAGGTGTGTGTGTTGTGTGTATGCGGTGTGTGTTGTAGGATACCAGACACATAGGACGAATTTCTTTCCTTGGACTAAGTATGCTTGATTATTGTTTCTGTGTTAATAACAGCTCAGTCATGGCTATAAAATTAGCTTCATCTAAGTATGACTTTGATACCAATTTTGATGGAAATGGGGGAGAAAAAATGGTAGGATACACACACACACAAAAAAAAGGTAGGATCCAAAGGCAACCACTCCTACTTGGTCATGTGATCATGCTATTAAAGAAGTTCAGCAAATACAAAATAAACTATGCTGATGTACCTGTAAAGGCGCTACTGTATCTTTAACACATGCTGTTACTGAAGAGTACAAAACTAAAGGTTACTCAAAGATAAGCTATTGTTTTAAGTCCTGTTCCCTTGTTACATTTAAAGACCTCAGGACAATTTCAGGCTGTGACTGTGACTACTTTTTATTTAATAAGACGGGACTGTCCTTAATCTAGTCAAGTTCTGTGCAAGATGGAGTTAGTTGGGAGAAGTAAAATGCATACAAGAGTACGGTGGTTGAGCGCAGCTCCACTGATGTCTTTCTCTCTTTACATATGGATAAGTGAGCCCTAGGAAGAAACAGTGAGTATCCTGTCACATTTGCAAGTGGCTGAAAGCTCTATGATTCAGTTTAAAAGCAAGGTAACAACCACCATTTACAGACAAGGAATAAATACCTCGCCACCACAATCTGCAGAGGTGTTATAAATTAGCCTGACCACAACCAATACTCACTAGAAGTCAGGACATATGAGACATTTTCACTGGATCAGTCCGTGGACTTTCTGCCTACGTGGACTAACATAATGTGATTTTGAGTTTATTTCAAAACTACCTGGTAGAGAAGATGACCCCAGATGGATAAAGAACGTGTGGCTCATTGCTTGTTATGGTTGTTGTTTCTATTCAACAGACTGGAACCAGACTGCATATGGGTTTCCAGATCCCAAGAGTGATAAAAAAGCAGACATGATTTTACCAATTGTTCTGCAGTATCTCTGCCCTGTGTATATTTCTTTCTTTGGCCTTGGTGCAGTTTCTGCTGCTGTTATGTCATCGGCAGATTCTTCCATCTTGTCGGCAAGTTCAATGTTTGCTCGGAACATTTACCAGCTTTCCTTCAGGCAAAATGTAAGAACAGTTATTTGTAACTTGTGTTTATTGTTGTTGCTGCTGCTGCTGTCATTTATGTTCGTGTATACACACACAGTGTTGTGTATTTACTAATATTCTATGTAAAAACCTGACCCTCCTTGGCTTAAGCATACAAGGTTAAATAACAATGAATAATATATCTGCCGTAAGTGGATGTTATCCATACATGTCATCACTCATGTTAATAATGAAGGAAACAGATCGATAAAACTATTTCCCAAGAGGTACAGTCGTAATTGATATAATTGAAACTTCTTTTCTGTCTGATAAAAGAGTAATGAAACCTAAAATATCTCAGCAAAACTTTCAGTCTAATTAAATGCACCAGAAGACCGTAAAACCATGGTGGAAGCAGGAAGTGGAAAGCTATTTTACACGTATCTGTGTAACATCTGGACTGTTCTTCACTTGAACCTCCAAATCCAAAATAGCCTCTCAATTCGATTTTCCTTATTGAATCAAGTTGTTGCAAAACAGCACACTATTGTGGTCACTAGCGACCAAGAGTCCCTTTCCACCTTCCTGCCTGATTAAAGCTTTGCCTCTCTCTAGTTTTTGTAGGTCATAGTTAACAAAATGGTCCCAGTGACTTGTTTGTTTATTTGAGTTCTTTGTGTTTGTTTGTTTAGTTTTTTATCAAGGGATCTCTTTAAACAAGCCCTTTTCAAGGGCACTGGAAGGTGGTTAGCCTTAAAGATGGTAGCACTTCTGTGAAGAGGGGAGGTAGGGATGGTCTATGCTCTCTCCAGGAATGTACTTGAATATGTAAAATTAGTGAAATCCTCCCTTGTTTTACTATCCTCTGTGATACCACATTAGCTCAGCCTTCCCCACCCTCCCCTGGTGCACTCAGAGAAAGGCTCGGGTGGGCTATGCTTCCACTAAGGCACACAGAAACCCCTTCCAAAGGTCTACCTACAAGGCCGCCTAGATTTGTTTGCTACAGATGCCTTCATTTAGATTAGATTTGCCCACTGATTGAGCCATTCGAACCAGAGGAATGCTTTAGACCAGTTTTAACGTCCAAAATGTACTTCATCCTTGGACTACAGGAGCCAACACGTTGTGTGGAAAGCTGACCTTGTGGTGATTTCTTCCAGGCATCCGACAGAGAGATCGTTTGGGTGATGCGGATCACAGTGCTTGTGTTTGGAGCATCTGCGACAGCCATGGCCTTGCTGACCAAGACCGTGTATGGCCTGTGGTACCTCAGCTCCGACCTTGTGTACATCATCATCTTCCCCCAGCTGCTGTGTGTGCTCTTTGTCAAGGGGACCAACACCTACGGGGCCATGGCAGGCTATGTTTCTGGCCTTTTCCTGAGAATTACTGGAGGGGAGCCATACCTGTACCTGCAGCCCTTGATCTTCTACCCTGGATACTACCCTGATAAGAACGGCATCTATAACCAGAGATTCCCATTTAAAACTCTGGCCATGGTGACCTCATTCCTAGCCAACATTTGCATCTCTTATCTAGCCAAATACCTGTTTGAAAGCGGAAGGTTGCCACCCAAATTAGATGTATTCGATGCTGTTGTTGCCAGGCACAGTGAAGAAAACATGGATAAGACAATCCTGGTCAGAAATGAAAATATTAAGTTAGATGAACTTGCACCTGTGAAGCCTCGACAGAGCATAACTCTCAGCTCCACTTTCACCAACAAAGAGGCCTTGCTTGACATCGATTCCAGTCCAGAAGGGTCTGGGACTGAAGATAATCTGCAATGACCCATCTCAGTCAGATGCTGCTTTCTCAGAGCACTGTAATAGGGTAGTCCTGGAAAGATGGTTTGCAACTTATACAAATTTATTAAAAGTATAAACAATGGTAAGAGGGACAAAAATCTATATAAAGTCCAACTATAAAAATACAAACCAGTCTAAAAGGAAGCACCTATGAAAGCAACAATACCCTTTAGGCTCATCCATAATAGATGTTGATGCTAGATAGTTTCGTTAGGTATAAAAAGTGAATGAAGCCCCGCTCAGAGAACAGAGGGCCAAACAGAGTATTTATCTTTTTTTTTTTTTTTTAAGAGACAAAGTCTCAGTTTGTCGCCCTTGGTAGAATGCTGTGGCATCACAGCTCACAGCAACCTCCAGCTCTTGGGCTTAGGCAATTCTCTTGCCTCAGCCTCCCAAGTAGCTAGGACCACAGGTGCCGGCCACAATGCCTGGCTATTTTTTTGTTGCAATTTGGCTGGGGCCAGGTTTGAACCCACCACTCTCGGTATACGGGGCCAGCACCCTACTCACTGAGCCACAGGTGCCACCCCAGAGTATTTATCTTTATTACAAGAATGAAAGATATGAAAGAGCTTAAGACAAAAGTCTTGATAGAAACATGGTTTGCTAATGCACTGGTAAGTCTAGTTTAATTAGTGCACTGAAACTATGAGAATAACTCACAGTCACTCCAAAGAATGGTGCAATGAAGTAGCCAGCTGATTCTTCTTCTTTTATGTTTTGAACTATAACATTTGCTGAATATGTAATCTGTTATTCCTTTAGTCATGGCATATAATATTTTGAACTGAGGCAAAACAAACACACAAGAAATACTGCATCGCTTTCTGTGCAAGGTTATAGGAAAATAGTCCATCTTTGTTAAGGGGCACTAGGCTACTTGTTTATTTCTCTAATAACTGTATGCATAGGGGGTAGTAGCTGGAGCATAGAAAAATCACTGGGAAACCTTTAAGCAATAAATAAAGATGGCATTAAGCAGAAATAGGAGAAACAGTGAAATTTTATTTTTATCTGAAGTATTTAAAGTTTTGCCTCACGTTAAAAATGTAATATCTCAATCAGTATTTAAATTAAGAATATAAATGATATTGAGCCTTACGTAAGGAGAAGTAGCTACGTGGCACCAGTTATGGTTAACAAGAGACAAAAGGCTAAATTAGCATGTATTTCATTGAATATTGATTACCAGGGAAGCTCCCATGTCACCCCCTGACAGTAATAACATTTAAAACCAAAACCAAAAAAACACTCACGTTTGGAAATATATTAATGGGGATGATTTAGCAGGAAGGGATCTGCTCTGTGGCAGTTTTTCACATATGCTAGCTTTAGGGACTGGACAAATCACCATTATGAAAAATGTATAGTGAATTTTAAAATATGGAAGAAAGCAGAAAGTAAGTAAAAATAAGTTCTAAAGGAAAGAAGCCATCAATTGTAGCATCTGATGTCTACATAACTTTTATTATATTGGTCAGTAAATATTATTTTGCTCTTTTCCTGGAGTTAAAAAAATATATTTGTATATATCATGGTTTGTATTTAATATAGAATTTCAAATGCTCTCCCACCACTCACACATCATAGAGACAACAGGAGCTGTGTCTACAAAAGCAAAGTGAACTGACAAGCTGAAGATCATTTGGGAATTTAATCCAATAAAGCAAGCCAATCTGAATTGTCAAAACTAAAGCAATTTTTCCAGAAATTTTTTTTTATATACTCTGACCCAGTGTTCAGAATTAAGTATAAAAGCTGTGTTTTGGCTTTTTCATAAGTTTTAATTGCTGTCTCAAAGCATCAAATATTGCCTCCATGAAATAGTTCTTAAAAACGACCCATGAATTAAAATTCAGGGTCGTTTTTAAAATAGGAAATTAAATAATTTTGCATGTTGTAATGTCTCCTATGTTGCATACTTCATCAAAAAGTGACAGTGAATGTTTCATTTCATTTGAAATCTTCACCTTACGTCATATACACCTAAATAGAAAAATAATTCTATTTAGTCACCTGTTTGCCCAGAATCTATTCAGTGCCCTGTGTACTTGGAAAGAGTATATTTTTGGAAGCAGTAAGGATGAGAATCTGAGATTCTCAGAGATGGGTCGAGAAAAGAGCCAAGTACAGAAAATGTATTAAAGAAAGACCACAGAGATCAAAACCTTTGACAAGTGAGAGTAACTAATTGATAGAGACCCAGGTTCCCAGGGGATAGGATGTTTCAGGTGCACCCTGCCATCCATCACACTTCCTGAATGATGAGTTTCCTCTGTTCCATCAGCATAAGCTTTTGTCTCAACCTGTTGAAGCACTATGCATCATAAAACACATCACTCACACTACAATAGACTACAAGAGGAAGGATCATTTCTTTACAGATATTATATTTTATGATTGTGGTGGGCAACAATTGTCCAAACAAGTGACCACCCTGAAGTCCAATGAAAAAGAATAAGTATTAATAGTAAAAATTTCTTCCATTCCATTCATTTTCTAACAAGAGATACAGGGGGAAAAAAAGTTTGCCCTATCCAAAATATTACAACTAGACAACATAAATAATTCTACCTACTTTCAAATGAGATATATTAAAAACAAGTTTATTATTAAATCCACAAGTAAATGTGCTATTAGCAAGATGATTAAAAAAAAAAAGTTCAAATCAAAAGAAATGAAACAATGATCACAAGGTTTTATTTATGGAGATTTACATCTGTGTGTAAATGTCCCCCCAATTTCCAAGGAAGACATCCAGCTGTGAAATGTAGAAGAGGATGTTTTATGTCCATCACCAGCTCTTTTGGCATCACGAGTAATGCAGCCGGCTTTGTATCCAGCTTCACCCAGTTGAACTGATTTCTCAAACCTATCCTCAGTTAAAATAAAACAACAGAAACATAGACGCTGGCTATATTAATCATGGGAGGAAATATATGTAGATAAAGTATTAAAATAAAGCATTTTATTTTCATACTTTTAATATAATTGTGACATGTTTCTTGGGTAATTTGAATGTTTTTTGTTCTCATAGATTATTCAAAACCTCAAGCACGTAGCTGGACTGCAACACCAAGCTTTCAAACACTCAGTGTCAAAATCCAACTTCATTGCTACACTTATTAGTGATGAATTTTATGTGAATATTTAATGAATGTAAGTTTGAAATAGTGAATCTAATATAAAAGTTATTGGCTTTTTTATTTGGAAATGATTAATTACCATTATATTTTAAACATAAATTATGAATTTTCATTTTTTAGTCTTCATGAAGTTTACTCTGGTATAACGTATAACATTGTAAGTTTGTTATAGTGGATAATTTATTGTAAGTTTGTTACTGAACAGACAGATGCATATAGTGGTTCTAAAATATATATTTTTGTCTGTCAAAATATTATATAAAATTATGCTTAAAAGAAGTAGATTTGCAACTATAGGTGTAAATGTTTTAAATGTAGTGGTATTGTATTAAATTGTGCTGGTGCAATTTAGGATATCATTGTCTAGGTTTGGCTTTTTGGGACCCTTCCTTAAAATAAATATGTATGGTGCTTCAAGGGAATCATGCAGTGAAATCGAAATAAACCATCTCATTACTGGAGGATATGCAAATGCCCAGCAGCAATGTTACATTTTGCATCACTCTTGGGGCAATATATAAGACCATATTTCAAAAGAAAATATAAATTATTTGTCTTGGAAAAGATGTTCTACCACCATACACAGGCCTTTTATGAATCAAAGAAACGAATAGACACAATACCCGTTACCTGTCCATTAAGTCTCACAGGCTACAGATGGAGCTAGCTGAGCAGCCCGCTATATCCATTCATTAGCATGAAGAAGGTCTACAAAATTAAATAGCTATCTGCTGGTTGTTGATTTCAGACATGCAGCCAGTCACTACGTGACAACCTGGGTCTCATTTATGCCCTGCATCTCTTTCCTGATTCAAGCTGTCTCTAAACATGTAATTATATACATTCTCAGAAGAACTTTGGCTTCTCACACCTTAATCATATTAAACATCAATGCCTTTAGATGTCTGTATGGTGGAGAGCCCTGGAATAAGTGTAAGGAAGAAGGAAGGTGAGCCTGAGAGTTGATGCCACATTGATAGACACACTTGGGGGAGCATGCATTTCTAATTTGTCACAAACACCACATAGATTCCATAGAGAAATTATTAGGAGCTAGAAAAGGGAAGGTACTAGAATATAATAATGGAGCCTGTGTACGTTACCTTCATTGTAACCATTCTATGTAGAGAATTTACGTTTGATCATTAGCATTCCTGTAGGACAGACACTCTTGAGAGAGATAAAGGGAGCTACGGGGTAATGGTAATGATTATGTCTACATTTTCAGTACAATCACCTAAGGAAGAGCTCTGAAATGGTCAAAAACAGTTGTATTGTTTAAATTCTCTAAAATCAGAGTATATGGCAATTCCATTTTTATTTTTAATTGGGAAACTAAGGCTAGTTATTTAAAAGACTGCATTATGTATTTTGGAGCCAAACTGCTGTGCTGATTTATCAGTTAAAAACAAGAACAAGACTAAAAGCCCAACAATAAAATTTAAAGTAGTATGGATTATTGAAAGAAATCATTGTAGACAGACCCTGAAAGTGATGCAGAGGCAGCTGAGGGGGCAAGAATGGAGCTAGGACTTACTAGCTTTGGGTCCTGGGAGAATTACTGAAACTCCTGGATCTATTTTATCTATGCATCTACTGCAGACCACCTCTTAGACAGCCACTGGGTTTCAAATTGAGGGACTGGAGAGTTGTGTGGTCTTGGCAAGGCATTTAACCTCTGTAGGCCTCAGTAACCCAGATGGGGATGGTATTTATCTGTTATCAGTAAATTATATGATGTATGCAAGGTTGCCTAGAAGAACACACAGAAAAGGCATAGAGATATGGAACTATAATCAGATCTCAAACTGGGAAAATTGTTACAAAATATATTAATATCTATTTGGGAAATTATTTAGACTTTTAATCTTATCTTGTATTCAAACGAGTATCAGAATGGATTCTACCTTAGGAATGAAGAAGAGTTATGCTTTAAAATACATTGAGAGGCGGCGCCTGTGGCTCAAGTGGCTAAGGTGCTGGCCATGTACACCCAAGGTGGCGGATTCGAATCCACCCCGGACCTGCCAAACAACAATGACGGCTGCAACCAAAAAATAGCCAGGCGTTGTGGTGGGTGCCTGTGGTCCCAGCTACTTGGGAGGCAGAGGCAGGAGACTTGCTTGAGC